GAGGGGGGAGAAGGGGGAGAGGGGAGAAGGAGGGGAGGGGAGGAGAGGGAAGAGGGGAGAAGGAGGAGAGAGGAGAAAGGGGAGAGAGGTGAGAGGAGAAAGAGGAGAGAGGAGAGGTCTCATCTGCACCCCCACTGGTTAGTTTAGCACAGAACTGAGTCTGTCCCCACGGTGGGCAGCTTTGCAGACCCTCCAACTGAGTCCCAGACCCACTCTGAGGATGCTCCATCCCACTCCCACCACCACAGAGCACATGCTGGGCTCTCCAGAGCAAACTCTGGCTCTGATACCCAGCTATGGCCACGGCCCCATCTCACTGTGCACGGGTGATGGTGCACGGGTGATGGTGCGAGGGTGATGGTGCGAGGGTGATGGTGCGAGGGTGATGGCGTGAGGGTGATGGTGTGAGGGTGATGGTGCACGGGCGATGGGGGGAGGGTGAGGGTGATGGTGCACGGGCGATGGTGTGAGGGTGATGGTGCACGGGCGATGGTGTGAGGGTGATGGTGCACGGGTGATGGTGTGAAGGTGATGGTGCGAGGGTGATGGTGCACGGGTGATGGTGCAAGCTGAGCCCAGACTTCCCAAGGTTCTACGAATTAAACGAGCGCTAACGAAGCCACCGTCACCGCGTGAGCTGCCGCGTGCGGCGTGTTCTTTACAACCCTTAGGACAAACACCGAGGTTTGTCAGTGTTTCCATCGCTGTGAAAAACATTGATTTTTCCCAGCGTGAGCTTCGAGCTGAGGCTCTCGCGCTTAATAAGACAGAAATGCCAAAGCAGAAGCTGCTCCCGCGGAGCCGTCGGCAGCTCCCAGGCACATCGGGCTCATTTAACGCCGACGGCCCCGTGTGAGAGACGCTGCCGGAGCTGAGTCCCCAGAGGGAAGGGCAGGAGACGTGGCTCCATTTTCTCTCTCTCTCTTGGCTGTAAATAGGAATTCCCACTTCTCAGCTCCCTGTTGGGTGACTGCAGCCATAAAGTGAGTGTGAACTCCACCTATGGAGCCCAGAAAAAAAATAGGAAGCAGCTCTAGTGAGCTGCTCTGAGCACCCACAGCTCCCAGTTAGCAACTGGAATAAGAGATGAAGAGATGAACCTTCCGCTCCCGGCACTGCCTAACACCCGGCTGCCCCACAGCCCTCTCTGCCAGGGATCAGGGAGATGAGCATTGCTCCTGTGGGGAAACTGAGGCACGAAGTGGTATATGGGGGGTCTCTCCTGGACCCTTAAACCACAACCTGCTCCTCCTCCAGTGCCCATGGGTTGATTCGCAGGTCGCTCGCTACAAACCCCAAGGAAACCCAAGCTCACCTCCAAGCACGCTCGCTCCCGCTCAGCACCGGGTGGGTTAACCCAGCACCCTCTGCACCCACCGTGTTCTTGGCCCCACCAGGACCTGCTGACTCAGCACCAACCAGGAGATTTCACCGGAATGAGCCGTTTTCCTGCCGACAAGGGCTCGGCGACCCCATTGTTCGCGGAGGGGCTGCTATCGGCACGCGGAAGAAGCAAGTCTTGCCCCTGAAGAGCAAACTCGAGACTGAAATAAACCACCCCGTTTCCTTCCTGTCGCTGCAGTTTCCAGCCCTGCTCAGGGCTTGGGGTTTTTTTTTTTCACCCCTTCTTCTTCTTTTTAATGAAAACGCCCTCGAAAAACAGCTTCTTCCACTGAAAAGTGAGCACCCGGGTGTTGTTTTCACCGAGTCCGGAAGAGCACGGCGGGGCTGTGGTCCCAACAGTGGCTTTGGGGACAGTCACAGCCCTTTTTCGGGGGTTTTTGTCACCCATTTTGTAGGTTTCAAGGTGGGGGTTTTGCAACCCTGAGCGATGGTGTGAGGGGTTTGGCTGTAGGTTGGGACATCTGGATGTCCTGTGTCAGGTGGGGACGTGGTGACACGGCTGATGTCCCAGCCATGGGGTCCCTTGGGGACAGGCACGTGGCAGCGCCGGGGTACGGCACCGTGTCTGCTGCGCCACCGCAGGGCGGGAGAACCAAGGGCCAAATCCAGCGCTGCTGATTTTCATCCAACACTTGGTTGCAACCTCAGTCCCCATCCCATGGAGACCTTCCCCATCAAACATCTCCTGCACCACTGCACAAGCGAGAGCAGAGCCCAACCCTCTTGTTAAAAAGCATCAGTTAAGGGAGGAAAATGAGACCCCATCATCATCATCACCAAGCCCCCCTCAGCTCCCTCGGCAGCGGGTGGAATATTTCATCCAGGAGAGCAAAAGCACTTCAATAATTTATGGAGCAGCGTGGAGGAAGCGTGTGGAGCAAAGGGAGGGCTCTGCCAAGCTCCAGCTGAGAGCAGAAGCACCTCTACCTCCTCTTCCTCCTCCTCTTCCTCACCAGGGCCATATTAACTTGCTACAAGTTTCCTCTGACACCGAAGCATCATCTCCCCCTGGTTAAATATTTCATGGTGGAGATCCCCTTGGTTTTCCCTCCATCCCATGCACCATTTCCTCCCACTGCTCAAAAAAACCCCTCCTGCTCCACCCCTCAGCACCCCCAGTCCCCCCAAATCCTTGACCAAACGCCAAGGGGGTGGATGGGATCTCATTGCTCCACTCTCCATCCCTCGGCATCGCTTTCCACCACCTCCCCACGCCTCCGACCTTCATCAATTAATTAAACCCTGCCGCCGCGCTGGATTACAGGAGACAGATCAGAGCACCGGGGATGTAACCGGAGAGCCTGACTGCTGTCACCAACCTGTCCCCAACCATCCATGACCCTTCCAGCTTCCAGACCCCATTTTACCAGTGCTGGGATGGCAGAGGAAGAAGAGGAAGAGGAGGAGGAAGCAGGAACCACACCGTCTTTTGCAATAACCGTCCCTCACACGTTGCCATGGGTGCAAACAGCATGGAGAGCCGCCGGGTCCGGTGCGTGTATGTGTGTGCCGAGCAGGGTGAGGCCACCAGGAGGAAGCCACTGAGTAAACACCTCGC